GAATTTTGTGAACCCGGGTGTTAATCGCTCGTTGTGCCGTCCTGGTAGCGGGTTGAACGTCACTCTACATTCATTACGGACAGTTTGTTTTGTTTTGCCATAGTTTTTTTCACTATCTATTGCACTATTACCTGTACCACAGTGTGGTGTTTGGAACCCTCTTTTTTGAATAAGGGGGAAAAGGGGGGGGGGGGGGGGGAGACCCCACTACTTCCTCAAAGCATGTCGTAACAGGCGACTAATTACGGGTTTAGTGAAATCAGAGGTATTAGCTGAAAGGCGTAGACATCGCAGCCTAACTGTAAACCCCAACGTGTCAACTATCTTTTTTTTTTTTTTTTTAAACGAATGCAAAACAATAAAACGCAGTTCTTACATTGTGAATGTTGTTATGAAAATTATGCAAACAGTGAACTTTTAAAACCCTTTACAGCAGAGAAACCTAACCTGGTTAAAAAAAAAAAAACGGGCACAGTTAAATTTCATCTTCGGATGAACGCAGAAGAAGAAGAAATCATCTTTCACAGTAATCTGAAACTTGGACAAAGGAAAAAGATCTACGACAAATCTGAAGCTTCCATCTGAGAAAAGCGATAAGATTACAACTCTGTCACGGCATGCGCCATAGAGATAGATCTTTTACCGGCCTGCCTAAAGCCAGGAATGAGAACGTTAGATTCACTCCCCCACCCCATCCCTCACCGAAGCTACCCAAAAGGTCACGTAGAGTGGATAAGGCTATCACAACAAGTCACAGCACAGGTTACACAACACCATTAACGAACCCGGGAGCTTTGGTCTCTTGGGTCCAATTCTCTCCTAGAAAATGTGAAAGATACCTAAGTGACTCCCTTCCACCACCCTTAAACCATGTTTAGAAGTTCTCTTGCTAAATTTATTTGTATACATTAATACCATTTCAAAAATACCATTGTATTTACTTGACATTTAACACATAACAATAACAGTAATAATAAAATACACCTTTTCCACACCTTCAGGTGTGTTGGGCATATAGGGCTAGACCTATATTTTATGAACCAATCGGCACTTGGTGGGTCGGTGGTCAACATCCCGCCAGCCGCCGTTACTTCAAAAGACCTTACTTAGTTCCCATTTAAGTCTGGGTCGAGGTGTGAGCCAAGGTCATTAAAAAACAAAAAGTCCTGGCTCTCTCTCAGGACCCGAAAACATTATCTACGGATCCACAGGCGAGCGGATACGCAGCTAAACTACACCAGCTCTTATCATCATTATCATTATTATCATTATTATCATCATCATCATCATCCTCAACAACTTAAACAAGATTTAGTTGACTAGAAGTCACCACCCGTTCGATTTGTAAAAAGGTGAGCCAATACTTTCCCCGTTTCGGCCTCACTCAACACTGTTAATAGAGTTCATTGCTGATAGGTTCCAACACACCATTGTCAAGCTGTTTTGTATGTGTTTCCCTTCGGTCGTTCACACCCACATTCTCGTCAGGTTGCCAGTTTGTACAATAAATACCCTCCCGCGTAATTAACGATTTCCACTTCTGCTAGAACAGTTTCAAGATCAATGTAAATATCACAGCTCCCGGAAGTAGAAAGGTTAACCAATGAATCAAATTGCAATGCCCTGAAACAGTAAACGATTGGATTCTGGCACCACAATTTGAAAACTATTACAACAACACTCGGTGATTACATTTTGGAAGGACAATTTACAATTATAAAAACTAGCATAGAGATGTTTTTCGAGAAAACGGTGTTTACAGATTGCAATAGATTGCGCAGCAGTTGGAAGTAAAAAATTAAATTCAAGGTATAATTAGCAACGGGTAACTACATATCGTCTCTGAGTGATGGCATTTTGTGAAAGTGTTGGCCTTTGAAACGCAGGGGCCCGCTGATACCACTGTCGAAACGTTGCAGACGGCCCTAGCAGTTTGGGATCGAATTGCTTTCTGTGCGGTCGGCTTCTCGATACCCGGCCCGCACCGAACCCGACGTTACAAAGAGCGGTCGCAACGCCTAAGCCACAGACGCTGACTCCACAATATTAGAGGCCCTTAAATATTTTTTTAAAATTATCGACCTTTAAAATTTCATTCCTGTGAGTGATTGGCGTAGAGGCCCCAGGGCTGGTTCACCCATGTGGCCCATAATGATGTTAGGACGGCTCTGACTTTGTCCACAAAATTTGTTGTTCATTGCTTCATCAAGTCCGTTTTTAGTGCTGAGAATTAATAAAAGAATCAACCAAGACTAGACATTACTGCGCTGGCAACATTCGCATTCATGCTCTGTCCCTTTCCTTCAAGGACAACTAAGTGTTCCTAAACTGATGGTGCCATTAAAGACTCGACTAAGAGCCTACAGTTTATTTTCACTGTGTGTATAAAACTGCTCAGAACCTCCGCTGAATTAACCTTTCCAGGGACGGATACTCGGCCTCTTCCGGTGCACTGTCCGCTTGGACCCGGGCAACCTTAGCTACGTCCACTTTATCATCAAATACTTCATCGCCTAAAGGAACTGGTATAATGGCTTGAGATTTTAAACAACGGATCAACATCGTGGCACACGGGCAGTAACCTAAAGGTGCTCCGTTTTTCATTTAACTCAAGTGTGAGTCCGAAGAAGTTCAGCACAATGCACAGTCTCTGCAGCACCGGCGAGGATTCTGTAATACTTTGAGTAGATTTGTACCTCCAAATTTTGCCCGGGCAGCGCCGTTAGGCCCCTCTCTTGGATTTCCAACTGCCAAGAAATTTTTTATATGCGCAACAATGCACACGGTGGTCCGATTCCACTACCCAGAGACCAGGGGGAATTACTAGAAGTCCAAGCCCACGTTGAAAAAATTCCAGCTTTTACTGGGGATTGAACCCGGAACCTCTAGCACTTGAGGCTGACACCATGCCCCGATACCACGCAGCACATTTGGCTAATGGCTAAAAGTGGAGGGTTGAAATAGTGGATATTTGTCGGAATTTTCACACAGAATCTTGCTACTTGAATGATTTGATTACTTCTACAACTTTAAGGGTTTGACCAAAGATGGCAATCCAACAGGTCACCCAAATTACCTCTCAGTCAACAGGGTAATAATTATTAGGGAGCAGTCAATGGCTACACCGTATGCTGCTATTTGATAACCCGAGTCATATGCTGATAAGAAATTCATGGGTGTCAGTCCATCACATTTGAGATATAAAAACGTGTCTTTAACAAGGTGTCTGTTTTCAAGTCTGTCACAGGTTGTCTGGTTTCATGTCTGTCGAATGTTGTCTGTTTTCATGTCTATCTTAAGCTGTCTGCTTTCATGTCTTATCACACGTTACGAATTTTCACGTCTGTCACTCGTCAGTTTGCGTGTCCATAACTCGTTGTCTGTTTTCACGTCTATCACTCGTTGTCTGCTTTCATGTCTGTCACAAGTTGTCTGTTTTCATGTCTATCACAAGTTGTCCATTTTCATGTCTATCACACGTTACCCGTTTTCACGTCTATCACTCGTTGTCTGCTTTCATGTCTGTCACAAGTTGTCTGTTTTCATGTCTATCAGAAGTTGTCCATTTTCATGTCTATCACACGTTACCCGTTTTCACGTCTATCACAGATTGTCTTTCATGTCTATCACAAATTGTCTGTTTTCACGTCTGTCACAAGTCTGTTTCTGTGTCTATTGACCTGTGCCTGTCTTCATGTTTATCAAACGTTATGACCGATTAGGCCAGTCGTATCTTATATGTTCATGTCTGTAACAAGTTATATATATATTTCCGTCACAGATTATGTTTTCACGCCTATCATACATTATGTTTTCAAAGGTATCAACCGTTGTTCTTAAGGTTACACAGTTGCTGTTTTCATTTGTTTCATACATTATATGTTTAAATGTTTTATGGTATCTCAAGTTAAATATGTTTTCATATGTATCACACATTAGCCAGTCTGATGTCTGTTGGAGATTGTCTTTGTATCTGTTTACGTTTATCACAAATTTGCTTTCATGTTTGTCATATGTTTTCTGTTTTTATGTTTGTCATATATTTTCTGTTTTTATGTTTGTCATATGTTTTCTGTTTTTATGTTTGTCATATATTTTCTGTTTTTATGTTTGTCATATATTTTCTGTTTTTATGTTTGTCATATATTTTCTGTTTTTATGTTTGTCATATATTTTCTGTTCTTATGTTTGTCATATATTTTCTGTTTTTATGTTTGTCATATATTTTCTGTTTTTATGTTTGTCATATATTTTCTGTTTTTATGTTTGTCATATATTTTCTGTTTTTATGTTTGTCATATATTTTCTGTTCTTATGTTTGTCATATATTTTCTGTTTTTATGTTTGTCATATATCTTCTGTTTTTATGTTTGTCATATATTTTCTGTTTTTATGTTTGTCATATATTTTCTGTTTTTATGTTTGTCATATATCTTCTGTTTTTATGTTTGTCATATATTTTCTGTTTTTATGTTTGTCATATATTTTCTGTTTTTATGTTTGTCATATATTTTCTGTTTTTATGTTTGTCATATATTTTCTGTTTTTATGTTTGTCATATATCTTCTGTTTTTATGTTTGTCATAAATTTTCTGTTTTTATGTTTGTCATATATTTTCTGTTTTTATGTTTGTCATATATTTTCTGTTTTTATGTTTGTCATATGTTTTCTATTTTTATGTTTGTCATATATTTTCTGTTTTTATGTTTGTCATATATTTTCTGTTTTTATGTTTGTCATATATTTTCTGTTTTTATGTTTGTCATATATTTTCTGTTTTTATGTTTGTCATATATTTTCTGTTCTTATGTTTGTCATATATTTTCTGTTTTTATGTTTGTCATATGTTTTCTGTTTTCATGTTTATCACATGACTTCTGTTTTCGTGATGACCACATGTGTTATGTTTTGTGTTTATCATATAGTTTCAGTTTTCATGTTTATCACATGTTTTCTATTTTCGTATTTATAACATTTTTTTTGTCTGTTCTCACGTCTATCACACGTTGTCTGTTTTCATGCCCGAATTGGAATATCGTGTTGTAAATGATTTTTCGAACCCTCTGTTTGCGATGTCTCTCGATGTCTGCCTTAGAAGTTTTAGCCGAGGACAGCACGAGAGCAGCATTTTCATGTAAACCTTCCTGAAATCCCTCATCAGGAGTGGATAAATGATAGGGTTGATAAGACTGTTGCAGTAGCCCAGCCACACGATGGACGTGAAAAGTTTCGAGTTTATACATTTGCAGTAGGATTCAACCACGTTGGCAATCAGAAAAGGAGTCCAAGTGACCACGTAGGCTCCAACGATGACCCCGAGGGTTATTGTGGATTTTCTGGTGAAAGGTTCTCTGAGACTTTTGGAGGTAACGTCCTGACCTAGCAAGACCCGACTTGGGGCTATGAGAGTCCTGACAAACAACGACTGCCGCTTGGCTTCCTCGGAAACTTTAAAATAAAACACCAGAGCTATGATGATTGGTATCATGATGGTTATTGATCCTGCCAGGACGGCATACGGAAGACTAACTGTTAGGACGCATTGAGGTTCCGGTGTCATCATGGTGAGGTTAAACAGACTATTGATTTGTGAATTGTGCCAGCCGTTGGTGATTGGGACGAAGGAACTGAGCACTGAAACAGTCCACAAAATGGTCAGGAGAATTAGGGCTCTCCTGAAGGTCATCAAGGATTTGTAGCGTAGGGGAGAGATGATGGCCAGGTAGCGGTCAAAGCTGATGGCACAGACGTTCAGGACGGAAGCACTACACAGCATGACGTCAAAGGAAGCCCAGACGACACAGAATTCGTGGGACAGGATCCAGTAGCCATACAC